CGGTACGATTGTACAACAAGCATGTAGTGTTTGTAAAATAAACGTAAATGTATTGAAAAAACTGATTCACAGAACAAACATTACACTATTTGTCTGAATAAGCTTACATACAACACTTTTCTGCAAGAATGAACTTTGTGTATGATTTCCTACTATGTTCTTTTTTAATTTTGGGCAAACCATTTGGAAACTCTTTAGTGAAAGTTCATTTTTGGTGATGGTATTTTTTGTTTCCACGCCAAGGCAAGGTAAGATTCAAGATTTCGGCATGTCGTTAAAACTGTCCATTTCTGTTAATGGAAAAGAACCCTGGTTTTTTACTGATTCTGATGTTAAATGTCAGTAATATTCCCTCAAATTCCATTTGGGAACTTTTTATTTATTCCCTGAGATGACTTTACCAAAATTACAAGTATTTTAACTAGTATTCATACATCCTATAACCTTTAGGGATATTCTCTGGTCAAATTGATATTTAATTGTCATTTTCACACAAAACACCTTGTTCCAATCAAATGAATAAATTCAAAGTAGGCTACCTACATACAAAATAAGTACGGTAATACCTTCACTCTTAATACGTGGAGTTATATTACAACTAACTATTAAAATACATGGCAAAGAAATGCTACAGTAAAACTCAATTAAGAAGTTTAATAATTACTGGACTTTTCATTTAAATAGCTTTACACTCATTGAAAAATTGTCTGAAGAAATATTTACATTTGACTTTCAAGTCAAGTGTAAGTTAAACAGCTAATTCAAAAAGGTCGGTTTAGCTTTTCTTTAATTTAAACCAATTAGGTCCTACTGTTGTAGTAATGTTTGTTAACTAAATTGTCTCTTAATCTCCGATATTTAATGCAATAACACAATCATGTTTATTTGTGTGTTTATATAAATATATATTTGAATAATTATTTAGCTATACTGTCTTGATACATTAAACATATTGTACTCAAGCTACCACATAGCAAAAAGCCTGGCCGAATTACATCCCAGCGATATAAGCCTAATAATACATGATTAACCTTGGCAAGAATGTGGATACAGTTTGGAGAATAAGTGTAATAATTTTCAAACGTGGTTGATGGATTGTACCCAGTCAAGTGGAATAACATATAATCTGTCAAGTGTCGTGTTTGGGTGTGACGTATAGTACTTCCCAAGTTTAAAGTGACTTAAATTCAACCTAACCACAAACTCCCTAAGACTTATTTAATTTCCCCACGAAAAAACACGTTACTGCGCTCAAAGTTATTGATTGAATGTAACCATGTCAAATGTTAGTCAACTTATCCACTGTTAAGGCTGTGCTTCTTGACATTTTAAATTAGTATGCATATTCTCAACTAACCCTTTGGGTTTTCTTCTGTAATAAACTTAAGTTCACCAACCACCATGTTTAAGATAGCAGTTTTAATTGATTGAGCGGAAACCATTTTACAATGCATTTTAGATGGATAAAACCATTTTTCGCAATCACTATCTTTGACACGGCCCTTAAGTTAATTTTGCAACTTAACAAAATTATTCTGAATACTTAAGCATGCCAAGCTCCTAGGCTTAATCTTTACTGTATATTTCACTTTAAATATTTTCTGGTAATGAATTTTCCAAGTAATAATACTTTTTTAACCAACAACACGTTCATGAAATGTCACTAATATCTTTAACATCCGGTAAAGAGCTGGGACAATTTGTGGGACTGCTGATGTTATCTCATGGTCAACTGGTAATCAGTTCCCAAACATTGTCCAGCAGTTTTCCTCCATTATCATAGACACTGACACTGAGTCTACATGAGGACAAGTTCTGTAAGTATTTTTTGTTCAGCTAGTATTAGCTCTGACTATACGTACTACCATAGAATAAAGGAGTTAGTACTACCGTGAAACGCCTCAAAAAACGGCACCGATAACCTATACTATACATATACACTTGTATGGGTCAATAAATGAAAGAATTAGCTTTTTAGCTTGATTTCGGAAATATGTGATGATTAGTAATATTTATATGTAGGCAAAGATCTGGTTTTTCGGAATTAGTGGCAAAAAAATGATCCCCATGTTATTCTTATGGGAAAAACGCCCCAAGTGCCGTCTCCTTCCTATATTGTATCTACTTACACAAATGTCATCGATTTTTACTACCAGCCCAAATAATTGATTTAATAAAAATAGCTGCCACTTTTTATATTGATTGTTCCTTATTCGTAAAGTGGTAACACCCCTTTTAGGATAATGGCTGAGCCATAATTATTGTAAATCCGTGAACAGAAAATCACAAACAACATTGTTTTTGTAGAAATTATGGTTTTCACATCACAGTTCACATGTAGTAAACTCCTACTTTTCCAAATTTTTCATGTCGCTTTTATGTCAGTTTTTTATCAATTCACAACATCAATATATTCCACATGACACAAATAGCAAAACAAGCAATAAATTCCACATGACCGAAACAAAACTTTATTACAAAGCATAAACGGTAAGATATCGCTGCATGTAAAAGATCGCTTGTAAACATTGTTGTCCAAAAATAACAAGGGACAAGTCCGTAACGCCACGTGTAGCATCCTGAATGTCTTACGGTCACCGCGTTCAAAATGTCTTCTATATCTTATCATAGGGCAAATTTGTAGCTAAGGGGTTTTCGGAACGATTAAAAGCACTTTGAAACATATCGCTTTCATTACTAAAAAGATGATAAAAACAATTAATTACGATTCAAATTATTGTAATTTTGTAAATTAATTGGGGACTCTTTTCATAATTAATTGTTTCTAGAATTGTTTGAGAGTAGACATTGTTTCTATTTTGATTGGTGTAAATTTGGTTATTGAGATTGGTAGACAACAATTTAGTACTATTGTAGCTAACTGACAGATCTTTAACATTGACAAATAATTAGGTCTAATTTGCATTAGATTCTGTTGTATACACACGTTGCTTTTGAAATTATTATCCAAGAGTTCCATTGCTAATGTTGTAATACATTTAGGCGTATTTTTGCTTCTAAGTATCTAAGTCTGAATAAAATTCATTTTCACATTCCGTTCTTCAAAACCGTCTGGATAAAAGTGTGTTTATGTATGAAATGTATTTAATACTTGTACAGTTAACCAAAACTTCATTAGAGTATACACTTTTGTTTTCTCTGAGGTAACATTTTCGTTTTTAGCTTTAGCGTAAGTTCTGAGGACTTGTAAAGAGTTTGGAAACATCCTCTGTAACACTTTTGGTGAAGTTAAGGGGAGTCGCTACTGAAACTAGTGATTTTTAATAAAATCCTTTTAAAAATTATCATATATACTTTTTTAAGTTCATTTAGTCTTAGAAAAAGATTTACTGCCGTTAAAGTAAAAAAAAAATTTTTTTACATACTTTTTGGAGTTTTTTAAGTTTTTTGGCGGGAAAAAATGGGGTTTTTTAAATCTCTTATAACTATTTAACTACTGAACCAATTTTATTGTTCGATATCTTATTTTAAAGAGCAAGGAAAGCACATACTTTCTGTGCATACTCATGTTATTTTCTCAATTAGTTTATAAGTTATGGCTTCAAAAATAAGTTTTTGAAAAATTTATAGGTTATAAATTTTTATAAATTTTTTTTCATGTACTTTTATTTACCCAATTACAATATCCATGCACAGAAAGTTGATTTATAGTATAAACAATGTGTGGTAAAAATTTCATTCATATAGCTGCAATAGTTAAAAAGTTATAAGAACTTATATATAAAAAAAAACAAAATTTTAAAGTCGCGGAAAACAGCGGTTGAAGTTTATACGTTGGTTTATACTAGGCCTAGTTGATGCCCTAAAAGAGGTGTGCGCGCTTCACTTCAAATATTTTTTTCACAGTGAAAAAAATATATATTATACCAAATGTTATGTTTTTCTGAAACCTTACAATCCATAGAACAAGATAAAAAAATCAAGTTTTTTTACAAAATTGGTAGTTTTTCAGTAGCGACTCCCCTTAATGTAAACATGGACAAGGTTTTACACTTAGTAACTTGCAAAAGGCTTGACATCTGTAATATCGATACAAGTCAGTTTTGCAACATGGTTAAATTAGGTGCTACATAAGGTTGATTTAGATGTATTACAACAGTAAAATCAATTTTGAATTATGTTAGAAATTCATTACGGGACTTTAGAGTACGCTTTATATGTCATTAAACTGTACTTATTAAAATAAATACGTTTGGAAATTGCTGATAGAGCCGCTCTTGATTGGTTAATCATGTGTTCGTGAGTTTCGTGTTCGGTGTGTGAAAATCATTTTATAACATCGAAATATAGATAACGTTAAGCCCGTGACAGAAATTATTATGGCTTGACAAGAGCAAAAACCCAGGTCATGCACTCAAAAACGAGTCAGAGATTTGAAAAAACATTTGGAATGTACATTTTACACAAAACAGCTATTGTGACTAATTACAATGAACAAATGAACAATCAATAATGAATAGTACCCCCTTGCTTGAACATTGAACAACTTATGGTTGGTGAAAAACTATTCCAAAGTACGTTTCTGTCAGACAAATGTAGATTACCTTTAAATTTATAAATTTATTAACATTATTTTTAATATTCGTTTCCTTGAGTTGACATTTTTTATATTATCTAAAAATGGGTGATCCAACCCCTAGTCTTTTCATTGTCTAACTTACCATATATAAATTATAGCTTGTTCTCTGGTGATATAACCAAAATTAAAACGTAAACAATAACATTTTCCCCTTCAAAAGAACCTTTTGCGTCAATATCACTTCAAACAGACTTAAACATGACCTGACATTACAGGTTAACACTTTATAAAGTCTTTATAGGTCGAGCGTTATTCATACAGTATTTTTATTCAATGCAATCATGCAGGATGTTCTTTACCAGTTGTTAAAATATTAGATTGCTGCCATTAACAATTCAGCTCACTAATTAATCACCCTGGGTGTGTCTCGTTGTTATCATTGTATCTAACAGAACAGCTGATGTCGCTGTCACACCATGTGCTGGACATGTCACCGCCTCCACAGGGACCTTCCCCTCAGGCACGAGGCTCATCCTCACCCAGGGTTGGTGGTCTGGAGACCGAGCCAAGGGACGACCGGCGGAGAGGAAGACTCAACGCGGAACTGCTTATAGAGGTCTTGGCTGGAAACACAGATTCAGTAAAAAGGTAGCCTATAGTTATTATTAATTTTAAGATTTTTTTCTATTTACTGTTTGTCTTTTCATTACCGTAATAGTTTAATTTGTCATCAGTGATCATCAGAGCTGTTTCATATAGATGTACTACATACAAAAATTTTCCGTCAAAAGTGAGACTTGTTCTTGAAGTGGATTACCTGGGTTTCGGCTTCTTTAATTCCATTCTTGAATGCTATGGAAGAAATTAAAGATATTAACTTTTTCTTCTTGCTTTAATTAACTTTCGGCTTGGAATACCATGTCCGCCATGATATTCTTCTTTAGTGATTTTTTAATAATCCATCTCACACACAACACGAATATAGAGTGAATTGCTTGACAACATTGTAAGATAGATTTTGTTAAAGATCATCAAAAAAATCCAATCTTAAAAAAACAATTAGTTTCAAAAAGTGACATCCTTTTATTGTGTTCAATCTGTGAAGGGACGATGTTTTAAATTAAGAGACATGATGCAATCGTTTTTAGGACCGTAGCTGTAGTGGTCTGGAATGAGGCTACCCAGATATTGGAAATTAGTTTTTTGATCGTACCTTGTCTTTTTATAATGTAACCACCCTTGTCTTGTAAAAGACTTCAAAATCTCACTCCAAAACATGATGTACGACCCCTAACTATGGAATTGTTTCCAGTCTGTCATCGTTCAATTCATTTTGCAGGTATCTAGAAACAGGGTCATCAGTCAACGCCACATGTCGCCCAACCCTTACCTCCGCACTACATCTAGCAGTGGCTTGCAGACATGAGGACATCGCAAGACTGCTGCTGTCCTGGGGGGTAGACGTCCTGCGACGTGACCTGGAGGGTAGACAGGCCATCCATGTGGCAGCAGCTGTCGGCGATCCAGTTTTGTTACGTCTGCTGCTGCAACAAGATCCCGACATGGTCAACAGTCAGGTGGTGCCCTCACATGAGTCTGAGGACACACTGAGTCTAGACTGCTGGAGCCACGATCATAGCTCTGTCTCTGACAAGGTTGTATGAATTGATTTATTATATTAATACCAATTGAAAACCATACTCCCAAACTATTGGATGTTAAGGATCCAAAGCCAGCTTTCCATCATTCGAGCAGTTTCGCTTAGGCTTTGAGGAACAAGACAAAATTTTAAGCATTCAGTTTGAAGATGGTGCAGAAATTCACTCATTGCTCTATTAAGCCTTCACTTTATTATTTTATACATATAATTTGTCTTACCAATATTAATTGATTTGTATTAGGGAATTATTAATAAAAAATTTTGGTTTGTACATATAAAAAAAAAATACAATAGGATAGATATACAGTGTGAGTGTGTATTTGTTACTGACCACTACCATCCAGGACCATTTTTATGAAAAGTCCAATGATGAGGACGGTTGGGCTCTATTTTGAACTATTAAAAAGCTATCGATTTTAGTCGTGGTTGAGCCAGATGCGTTTTGATTACTTAGCCTACTACCTATAAGAGAAACGACAATTAACTATTTTTCTTTCAGGGATGTTACTCTACTAAAGACAGAGTGACACAAATAGCCATATTTATGTGCAATCAATGTGCGAGGCATATGTAGATGGACAAATGCAAAGTAAAAAAGACCCCCAACCAGAAAAAATATATGCCTGGTTATAGCTTTCTTAACACGATAAAATGTTTCTTTGGTGGAGGTAATTTACTAAAAATCCCAATTGTCAATAATAACTGGGCAAGGCTAAAACGAAAGATCAATGACAGTTTTGTTAGGGTTTAACTTAAAATTATAGGATGAGTAATGTCTAATGATTCAGCTACCCACCCATCTATATTAAGATACTATAAAACTTTAGCAAGATTGTATAGTTTGTTCAAATTTAATTTGCAGATTCCTCAAGTTGCACAAAAATCATCTCCTCTTCACCAAGCTGCTCAAAGCGTCAACTTAACTTGTGTAATACTTTTGCTTGAACAAGGAGCTAAAGTTGATGTTAAAGATCGAAGAGATTTAACTCCTTTGGATGTGGTGGGAGAAATAACAATAGGAAAGGCAGTTGGCTTGTCTAAGTCCTCAAAAACACCTAGTGACATGCAAAACATTATTAACTGCTTATTGCAAAAAGGTGCTAAATTTACAATACGGAAAAGCACTCTAGGTCAAGGAGTTGAAAACCAAGTTACAATGGAAGTTAACTGCCTTCACACTGCTGTATTGCAAGAGGATCCACAGCTAATTGAATTTCTGCTTGATAATGAAGCTAGTCTGAGTATTTTGAATGGTGAAGGCCTTACACCACTTCATCTTGCAGTATCTAAACGTCTTCTTGAGCCCCTCAGAATTATATTGGAGAAAAATCAATCCATACAGGTAAAAAGTTTTAGAATTGATTGCTAAAGTTGTTTTATACTCCTTGAATATTTATATTTTTTACTAAGCTGCATCTAATGAATATTTTATAGCATTCCCTTTTAAAAAACAGCACAGGTAAAATTAACACTCTAATTAGGTCACTTACATAAAGCCTTACGTTTCTTGCTAAAGTTTAATATTCCAAAAATGAAGTCCCTCTTTACATAAAGCGGTTTTTAGAACTATTCGAGGGAACCAGGGAACCAGTTAATTTAACTTGGAAGGTTTTAGAACAATTGAATACTTAAAAATTTTACTTAATTTATGTATGCATTTCCATCACTAACTCTAGAAACAATCTGTTTCTTATCACTTTATCACAAGGTACTGGATGCCGTTGACTTCCAAGGGCGTACTCCATTACATCTCGCTGTTGCCCAGATGTGGTTCCCAGGAGTCAGTCATCTGTTGGAGGCTGGAGCTGATGTAAAGGTCACTTCTAGTGATGGTCAAACAGTATTACACATGGCTGTGGCTACTCATCAGCCAGATCTGCTGAAGGAGCTACTTACAATCAGGGAAGCAGTCAATGTAAGTACCGTTCACCAATGTCACTCGATAGTTTAAATTGTGAAATCAAAAGTAGTCATAGGTAAAGTTATTGGTTACTATATAAGAAGATGCAATAGAGTTTCTTTATTTTGTAGACATGGTTTTTACATTAGTTCAAGTAATCATTCATTACAATTTGAATTTAATTTCATCATCAAATCATCAAATACACTGTGTACAAGTTGTTGTTTAATTTATGGTTTAAGCTTATGAGTTAAGGAAGAAGGGAGGATACTGTAACTCACATTAGAAAATAGTTTTAATCAGTTGATATCACACAAACGTTAATAAAACTCATCTTTTTACTCATGAAGAAGCCCCGTGGAGAGTTGAATGGGTAAAACATCAAGTTAATTGTGTTGTAATGCGCTGTTACCACGTGGAACCTATATTAGGTTAGTTAGTAAAGTCGCTTCTGTTTCCTTAATTTTCTGAAGACTTGCTTAAAAACTCTTCCACAAAATCCTATCTAAGTACTGTAAGTATCTGTACTGTTGCAGTCTTATGTCTAAAGTTCCTTTTATCTGTCCAGATGATCGATGCACGCAACAGACACCATGAAACACCACTAAGCTGGGCTGTGTCCATGGGTCAGTTGGCCTGTGTGGAGGTTCTTCTCGCCAAGGGTGCAGACGTCACTATCAAGCTGCCTGGAAAGTGCAGTCTCATTCACCTATGTGCCATCAGAGGTCACAGCTCAGTTTTGGCAGAAATCCTTAAGTACCCTCGCATGGCAATGTTCAAGAACTCACAGACCAACGAGCAGAATGGTGGCTTGACTGCCCTCCACCTAGCGGCTCTGGAGGGATCCACATCCTGTGCGGATGTCCTTTTAGCTGCAGGATGTGATGTGCACAAAGTGTCCTTCCAGTGTCCTTACCGCAAATCAACGCCCTTACATATCGCTGCCATGAAAGGGCGTTCTAAGATAGTCCTAGCAATTGTAAATCACGATTTAAGCACCCTCAAGGCTAAAAACGAAGATAAATGGTATCCATTACACGTTGCGGCTAGGTTTTCAAACCATGAATGTGTCAAAATAATGTTACTCAACGGAGCGAATTTGGCGACAACCGTTTTGGATTCAGATTTCAAAAAAAGAACAGCTTTTGACATAATTGTTTGCAACATACTTGATCCAGCTGCCTTTTTTAACGATGTGTTTGACTGCTACATTCAAGTCAATGAATACCCGTTGAATAGCAACGAGTGTGAGATAAAAGTGAATTATGACATTCTTCAACCTCTCGGACCAGATAGGAAGCAAATGAAAGTGTTAGACTCTTTGTTGAACTGTAAGAAATGTGCAGTGCAAGAAAACGTGCTGTTACACCCTCTGATTCAAACCTTTCTACATCTAAAATGGAGGAGGATGAGAGTTCTTTTCTTCGTCATAATGGCACTGTACATGATGTTTACCTTGTCACTGACCTCAATGGCAATGTGTTATTATGTTCTCTGGGGACAGATGCATTCAAGATTCTTGTATTTGGTAACCTGTGGTTGTAGCTTCACTTTGGGAATCTCTCTCCTCATCATAACCATACAGGTTTGTTACGTACTATAAACTAATATGTTGAATAACAACGTTCAACAGTGGCATTGCACTAATTCTTGTATACTCTCAACTCTGTGCCATTTGAGGCAAATGGAATCAGACTTCCTAAACTCTTCTTAGTCCTTTTAGTAATTTTCCTTTTCACTTTCTTTGGCACGATTCAAGAAGTATTTTTTTAAATATTCATCTGGGGGGACTGAAGCTTCTATTCACCAAACAAGGTATACTTTTTAGACAAAAAAAAATATAAAACTTCTAAAAAGCTGAAACCCAAAACTAAAGTTATGGCTTTTATCAATCCTTCCTCCAAATGAATCATCCTTCAATCTTTCTTTACTTCAAAAGAAGAATCATGAAAATCTGTCAAGCTTTTACTACAGAATACAGAAATTTTCTGGGTAGCCAAGTGGTTGATAGTGCTCGCCTTAAATCTAAAGGTCACTGGTTCAATTCCAAGCGAAATCATTTCCACCCAGACAGGCCCGCTTTTATAAACGGGCAGACTGGGCATATGCCCAGGGGCGCCGGGGGTTAAGGGCCCCTGGTGGGTGCCGTACAACTACTGCCCGGGAAAAAAAATACAGAGCACTAGGAAAAAAGGAGGGCGCTGATTTTGAGTTTGCCCAGGGCTACACTGACCCTTAACGCGGCCCTCCACCCAGATGCCATTTGTCATCGGGCTAAGAACTAATGGTGCTATCCAACAAAAAGTTTAATGTAGATAGTAACAAGACGAGGGTTGGGTCCGTTCCCTTTCAAAACGTAAAAAATACCATTGGTGTAAAAAAAACACTAAATAAAAGAATTCTTGAGTAAAAACCCCCTTCACGTTTTAATATACAGGACGGTTCAGATTAAAACCTAACTAGGTAATACACAATATCTAGTTTAGTGAAAATTAAATACAACAAGTTATAAGCTAAAAATAACTGCTTTAAATACATTAAAATAAGTTTATTTACTGTAAACCATGTCTGTAATTTTTCATCAGGAGCTTCTCCAGGCATTCAGAATGCAGCGTTACTACTTTAAGGAGCTGGAATCCTGGATCAAGTGGTCATCCTTCTTGCTATCCTTCATAGTGCTACTGGGCGATCATCCTACCGAATGGCTGGCCCAAGTGTCGTCAGTTGCTGTGCTTCTGTCCTGGCTAGAGCTTCTTTTTCTTCTTTCCCGTTGGCCTTCCACTCTTGGATTCTACATCGTCATGTTCTTCACTGTTGCCAGAAATGTATTTACGGTATTGCACCCAATATATTTACACACAGCATAAGGACTGAACAAGTCTTGTCAATACATAAGATACAATGGAAGATTGGACAGTAGATGTGAAATGAAATGAAATTAAATTTACTATTTGTTTCTTGCAGACAACCCATTTTTCATTTGACATGCTATACCTATGCTAGGATCTCCAAGAGATAACTGCACCCACTCCCCCTTCCTTGCAGAGAGTCTCTCTCGTTCTTGCGCCCCTAGGCCCTGGAATTGAATTTTGAATATCACTAAAATATATTCCCTTCACACATTTTAAGATTTGGCATAGCATAAATCATAAACATATTTTGCAAGACGCACTAGTCCTATGTGTTCTGTTCTAGGTGTTGGCTACGTTTCTGTTTGTCATCCTTGGATTCATGTTCGCCTTCATGATCCACTTCCGAGACTCCGGTCAGTTCACAGACGTGTGGAGATCGTTCACCAAGGTCCTGGTCATGACCTTTGAGTTAGACTATGAGAAGATGTTCCGGACAGTAAACGGTATGAATGCTGTGGTGGGCCGTGGCATCTTTCTGTACTTCATGGTGTTGATGGCGATCGTCCTGATGAATCTTCTGGTTGGTATAGCGGTCAGCGACATTGCCATGCTTGAGAAGCAAGGAAGAGCTAGACGGCTCGCAAAGCAAATTGACTTCCTCAGCATGCTGGAATCGTATGTCTACAATAGATATTTATTTGCGTTTTGCCCAAACAAACTTTCCAAAATTATTAGAAGATTTAGAGCTGTAGATCGGGTGCTCAAATTTTACCCGGGTAGGCCACGAAAGAGAGGTAACCAATTGACTGAGGACTTGATACAATCTTTGATTGACAATGTCGTAAGGCAACGCAGGAACTGCAAAAAGAAAAACTGTGAAGTTGGTTGCATCGGAGATGATGTCTCTGTACTGAGAACGCTGTAATTGTAAACAACAACAAAAAACATAGCTGTATAGTAAAATATTTTTTTACTACATTATACATACTATTGTACAATAATAACTAAGTAATCTGGCTATGTAAAATTACTGTTGAAAAAGTCTTTAAATTTCTGAAAAAACATAGGTTATACTTAGAAAAGTAAGTAACTTTGGTATTATCAGTGGTAATCCAAAATAGTACAATTTTACCAAAAATCTGATCTTTATATTTTATTCCAACATGCGCTGAAAGTAGGATCAGAATGTAACTAACTAGTGCTCAAAATGTTTACTATTTAAAAGATTAGCTTTCTCACTATGACTCTATCATTAATAATACTAATTCTAAGATCTAAGATCTTGGATAGATCTATGTAAATAATCCTAAGTTCTATTCTTGTAAATTAATGAACAAACAAATTTGAAGAATGAGTGCTTTGGAATACTATAGCTTAGTAGATTTTTTTTTAAAGTATCGGTAGGGAAGTAATAAAAAATAATACCTTTTGAAGAAACAGTTTATTAAATATACATAAAACAGGTTTTGTTTCATTCCACATACTTTTTTACAATAATTGCTATACAAGCAGTTATATAACTTTAATCATAATACAAATATTGTAGGTAGAACGTACAACTAAAAACTAAATTGTTACCGTTGGGTTAGTTAAAAAAATCAAAATATAACTTATTTAAAATAAGTTAACACTTTCAGCAATATGTGTTTATACTTCTGCTTTCTGACTAAATTATGTTGTGGCATACAATTACTTTAAAACAAACATAAAGAATACAAGAGTACAAAAATAAATTATGATAACCAATTCTTTTGGGAATTGATGATAATTTTGTAAAATCAGTTTTAGAAATTATTATATAGAAATTAGGGTAATCTCATATTCGAGGGATACTGTGATATGCAGGAAAACCTCTCACACTTTACAGGTTGTCCCGCATATACACATGGGAGTGTAAATTTAGTGAAACCCGGATCTTAACCTTATATAATTTAGTTATGATTTGGATGGCTGTTAAATGAGAGGATTAATGACAAGATTAAATTCAAAGTACTGAACTTTTTATTCTCTCAAAGAAATTAACTGTTCTAACAACAATAAAACAATTATTATCAACAAACCTACTAATGAATGGCTGATTGGAAATATCCTGGAGGCAGCTAGAACTTTGAGTATGAAATTCCCAAAAATGAATCTACTTCCACGTAATTTATAAATCAATCAAAATATCTTAATCAAAAGATTAACTCTTAATCCCCTTAAATAAAACTTCCCCTCAAAAAACTCCCAGCTAAAGGGCCTAACCCTAAGATAGAGCAACCAGTACTCACCCAACTCTTCTGGGCACCCTGCCCTGGCCGACTGACCCCTTTCTCTACCTCTGGTGGCCTATATTAATTGAACCCGAAAGCTACTCAGTGCAAAGCCCTCAGTGTTTACGAAAACACCTCCAGCACGCTTCCGAGGTAGCAAGGCCTGACAACAGGTCATCAACCTAGCTTGCCTAGGCTACCCTCCATTACAATACATATTATAACAGTATAATCTCATTGCCTGACGATAATTTAGTCCTTGACACTGTCAATTCAAGATCACAATGATTTGGTCATTTCCTATTCATCGACACCATAAATGCATATGTAAAATTACCAGTTTTTTTCTACAGACTTTTTATGGACAAGGTTACCATATCCGTACTTAATTAAATATGGAACACAGTATAAATTTATATTATTTTTTTTAGAAAATGATTTACTAAGAGAACATTAAGTTTTAGCCTCTGACATCTCAGCATTTAGACCAGATCATAGTTTCTCCACGTCCGCCAGATATTCAATAACAAATTTTAACAGCACCTGAACTCCAGAATTTAGTTTCAGCAACGTCAACTTGTAAGGATCCACAGGAGAGAAAACTTTTGTGAATTACCCTCTAATATCTTCCCAGGGAAAATCCATATTTTTCTTTTTTACATTTTCAAAACTGTCCAGAGTGGTGTATTCAAAGCAAAAATAAATGGGGAAACCAGTTTTCTTTTTGTTGCTGTCCCAGTTATTTACCACTGATGCAATTTCGAAACATTTAAGTTAAAAAATACGTCAGTCCTCTCTTGTGTGAATAACACAAAAGTAAGGGGATCAATAAAAACTAAAGTAATAATTTTCCTTGTAGTAACTCCATATATATTTTCAGTCTTCTTGCTATGGACCCCTATTGTTCCTGAATAAAGCTAAGCCCTCCTATTTCGCCTAGCTATGACCTTGTAGAATTGATTATCTTGCAACTCCAATCAAATTAATCTAAGACTAGATCTTAAAAAGTCAAAGTCTGCCCCTTTCAGAATTGGTAAACTGAATTATTCCAACTCCCTGCTTGTTCTCTGGCGAAACTTTTAACCTTTGGTAAACTTAAATCTGCTGCTAAAACTTCTATGGTAAACAACCCTTATCACAGTAGCAGTCTCAACAGCCTAGCCCGACTAAGCAGGTTGCCCATAGTGATGTATGCGCCAGTGATAGTGCGAGCCCCAGTGTAGGCTGACCTGCCATGCAGCACTCTCCAGTTGTTGATGAAGACTACAGTCCCTGGCACTAGAGTGAGTCTCCACTGGTCTGTAGGGTTCACTACTGCAGAGGTGAGGCTGCGGAGGGACTTGTAGAACTGTGATGTCTCACTACTTGGCTGAACCTGCCTGGCACTTCGGTCATACAGATTGTATCTGTAATCAATCATGAATCATGCTTGTAGAAAAAATACCCCCAACACAGCAGACCTGCAGACTAAGCGAATTTTCATTTAAATTGCTATATTTCCACTAAAATATTCCCTTAAAATTGTCAGATTTATCTCCTATTTATATAACATTATTTTAATGAGTACTTCGGTTTGCTGCAACAGAGGATGTAATGTGGTGTTTCTTCTTAATTGAAATTTCAATAGCTTAGTTTGAAATGAAATAAACAAAATAGCCAAATTTCATTGAAATATATCCATAAACAAGCAAACTAGAACAGTTTCCATAAGAATAACATGGCAATTGTTAATAATTTACACTGTGAATTTAATCCTATATCCGTTAATTTAAACCGTCAGGCATACAACAATACTTTATTATACTAAATAATTCTTTTTAGGCTCTACAAAATTGTAAAAAAAAAATTATTTTTTTTAAGGCCAAGACTGGAAAACCCAATTTTTACCCTAGAAACCCCTCCATAAAATCCCGTTCAAAATCGGTTAATTTTTGCTTGAGTTATCACGATAATGGGCACATATATTATACATATATGTGAATTTGAACGGAGGACGTTTTTGGCCTCTGGGGACCTCAAAGTAAATCGATCTTGGGTCCAGGTCTTACCATGAGACCTACGGTAATAGCTTCCCTATATGGAGCTTAGCTTTTGCTGTGAGAGTCAGTAGTTTAAATTATTTTTAAATAGGCCTATCTTAAAGCATTTTGTTGACGTCTTAAAAAATAATAATAATAACTGAAAACTTACCTAATTTGTTTAATCTTTCCTTCAGGCCAATGGCTGATGACGGGGGACATTTGTGACAGGTGATAGCCCTTCTCTATGTACTGGTATTCTGTGTGAACAGTCTTCAAACACTCGTAATGTTGAGGATGCTCAACCTCAACTTGTCTTGCGGCTCTAAACCCATCCACCAGAAGTGTTTGACCTCCTGAACAGTTCCTTTTGATACAATGGAAGATTATCAATCTGTAAAAACAGGGAACAATTAAAATAACGATAAGAACCCACTACCAAGTCCCCCTCAACTTCATAGAGGGTTACAAGGTCAAATGTACTTACTGTTCTGACTTTTATGAAGGACCCATTGGCCGAATCTTTGGAATAGATTACAAAGATCAACTTGACCCTAGAGCCCATGAACAGAGATCCAGGGCTGTATTTCCCTAACGGCTGACACGGCAGTTGCGGGAGGCCTCAACCTAGAAGGGGCCTCACTTAGGGCCTAAAATTTTTTTATTGATAAATTTATTCCACCGATAATCTGTTTTGCCGTAATTGCAGACGACGTTGATGAAATCTCCGCAACCGCAAAAGATCTTCACTATTTGCCGTAAATGTAGAAGTTAGTCACTATTCAGAAGACTACGTCTCAGCGCTCGCGCAAGATGCTAACTATTTCTCTGCGGCTACAGGAGACGTTCATGATTTCACTGAGATCGGAGGAGACAAAGATGATGATGATGTCTCTGCGATCATGCAAGATGTTCACGGCCACATTAGTTCATGATTACGCCACGATCGGAGCAGACGAAGATTACGTCTACGCGTTCGGGCAAGATGCTTTTTCTCCGCGGCCATAAAAGACTTTCATGATTCCACCGTGATTGGAGAAGACAGACGAATATGATGTCCCCGCGATCGCGAAAAATGTTCACTGTTTTCCGCAACCACAGGAAACATTATAGATTTTGCCGTGATCACAGAAGACGAAGATGTTGTCCCCGCAATGGCGCGATTGCCTTTTTGTCTTTTTTGCCGATCGGATTGTTCAAACAAGAAAAGGTCAAAAGGTCAGTTCATAAAGTTGAAGCAATACCACACATATTTCTTAGCACTTAAGTTCCGACCTTAGAAGAATCAGAAAATAAAGAGGCGCCTCTCTGATGAGAGCCGCTCGGGGCCTCATAGATTCTAAATACGGCCCTGCAGAGATCTAAATTTGCCCAACTTGTCATTGACAAACATAATACCTTTGAAAAAACTGTCTCAAAATATGTCACGAAGAAAGCAGGGTGGATTCTCTAGAATAGCAAACATAGATTCATTAATGAAGACAAAAAGGATCATATTCACAATGAACAATTAAACTATAAATCCTATTCCATTTTCAAAGTGATAGCAAACAAAAATTATACTACACAACATAGACTGGTAAAACAATATCTAGCTGATAACTCCTCACTTGCGTCATTGCGTGTTACATGTGATAGGGCTATATGGTTTTAATCTTTCTTATGTTAGATTACGTGTTTGTAATGTTTTGTGTTATTTTTAATGTAACCTAGTTAGCTAACAACCAATTTACACATAAATCATTATTTGTATTTTGCTACCTGATGATGCACCAGTTCTAGAGAAACATGAGATAATAATTACGGTAATAAAACGACAAGAGGTAAGTAGTCTAGTCGTTAAAATTACATCTGGATTGGTAGAAGGGCCTACCCTGCAGGCTCTATAAAGTAGCAAGTGTCAGTGTGAGGGTCTAACGCTAGGTTTGTGTAGGCCGTGTCCAGATGATCCATCTGGTCACTGAACTCCCACATTGCTCCAAACAGGGTGTGCTGCGGAGGACCAACATGGCGGATCACTTCCTCAGTGGCAGCTACGCTCGGCTCCACCTTGGATCAGAAATGTGAATTTTAAGAAGATATAATAGCAAATTATGAGATATTCTTATTAAATCGGCCCATTCAGGCCAGTGTAATCCGTACCAATTGTATCTAGTATTTATAATTACTTACTACAACCATAGACAAAAAGAATTAAATATAGACTGTCAGCCGTGTTGCGGTTACCATGGTTACGATAGGTTTCGGCGCACACCGCTGTAGTTTACGTAGCGCGTACGCCGTAACTACATGGCGCTCCAAGCGGTGTGCGCCAGAACCTATGGTAACTGCAGCACAGCTGACGGTCTATATTTAATTATTTTTGTCTATACTACAACCTAAACAATAACTCAATGAGGAGGAGTTGTATTAAATGTTTCTCTAAACGTCCGCTGCACAACAATCTACAAACCAAAGACTTCAATTCACTAAACAAAGGAAGATACTTAGCTTTTTCATGATCAAAAACAAATTGTGTAAAAAATATCTAGCTAAAATTTATTTCTAAGTATAAGATAACCAAAGAATCACAAAATGAGTGTAGCTAATTTAACGAATGTAAAAAAAACTGTTTAACTTAAAGGTTGAAGGGATACATACAGGAAACATTAGATTTTTCTCGAAACTAATGTTACAACAATTAACACCCCCCCCCCCCCCATTTCATTAAAATTCTGTATAACTGTAGACTTAGTTTTTTGGAGTAAAAGCACTTAGATCAATAAGGAAGAAATTATGGATAAGGAACTAGCTTAGGTACCAAGAAAACAGTTCCACGCCGTTGACAGCTCACCAAAACTTAACAACACAATTAATTTTAAGTCCGACTACTTTCGTCTGAAGCCCCATTGTAGCATTGTAGTTGTGAAATATCTAATTTTATCATTAACTTTTTGAGTGCTGCTATCAGTCTGAACTCTGGTGCTCTTTTCTTGGGTAAGTTAGTTTGTGTTTATTTTCCTAACGCACTTTAGAATCTCATGATAACTTGCTCACATCAGTGACAAACCCAACTCCATACTGCAGAAGTGACTTGACCAGCCTAGTAATGCCATGTTGAGACTTGACCTCATTGACCGTCACATGTTCTACCTCTCGTGACACGTCCCCGGACCACAGTACTTCTTGAGGTCCACTTTCCACCTTGGTCTGGCTTGTAATCCACTCCAAATCATACACAGATTTATGTCCATCGCTCCCTGCGGGAAAAATTGTAAGTTTCACATAGGCATGTGGTTGAGGATTTGCTAGTTGGGTTTTCTAATTTTTTAATCTACAGAAATAGAATTTCAGGGTTTATTAACTTTATTTATTTTTACTACTACAATTTCAAAGAAACTAAGGACATAACGTTAGTTTACATGATGAGAGTTAGTGTCTGTTTCAATTTATCTTTAGCTGCATGAACAGGATAACATAAATGAGTAAAAACTATACAGTGGATCAAACAAAAGCGAAAATAGTCAAAACAAGTAAAATAAAATAATTAAAAAAAGTTTTAGAACCATAAGTTATTTCATTTGTGTATTTTTTTTCGAAGAGTTCATTAAGATGGGATAAAAACTTGTAGTTTTTTCTAACACAAAAGTAACAAGAAAATATTTATTGATTAATCAAAATGTTTGCCCAGCTAAATTATTAGGTATGGTTAGCTATCATATTTTAAAATTACAATATTTCAAAAATATCTTTAAATATCTTGACAAATACCTTTAAATAAAGATCTTATAAAATATTTCTAAATTTTGTAAAAAAAATTGAGTTTAAAGTGTTTTTGTCAATATTCTATTAGGCCTTTTCAATGTTTAATAAATATATAAACCAGTCATTAAAAATATTACTTCAAGTCAACTTGATTCATATGTGTCGGTTAATGATACCAGCTACGGTACTAAGATATTTTTACTCACAGTTAACAACAAATTCTTTTCCACAAGTAGAAAAATTGAGCGGCTGTATACTGGGATCTATGTCAATAATTCTTATGTTACGTTGGTTGGTTATATTGTTGTAGCAAATATTGCACCTATAACAATGAATTGTTCAGACAGGTGAGGAAAGTGCTTTGAATACATTTGTGGATCTCCCAAAGACAATTCTCAAACAAGGGAGTTTTAAAAGGAGATGAGAGTTCAGCTGGCTCACCCATGTGTGATCCTATTGCAAGAATAATATATTCAGAAGATTTAAAAATATATTTTCCTCTCAGTAGATTAATTGCATGTTAATGACACTGAGGATAACATTTTTTTAATCTCAACTGACATTTCTAAATAAAATATAGGTCCTATAGATCATATTATGTTGAGTTAAATTCCATAAAAATGTTTTAATTTTTTTAAATGCATAATTAAAAATACTAGGGTCCATTTTGTTGTAAGAAAGCACACACGTTTATACAAAACTAAATGATCAAGTAATGAACAACAATAAGTTTAAGCTTGCTAATTTATTTTGATGGTCGACAACAGAATGAGACTAGAATATTTTAGTCATTTTCCGTAAGTTAGGACCTACCTGCAGTTTTCACGCAACCATTCAAAACTCAGCTTGACCTTAGGATTTGACACTTCCCTTTTGAATTCAAAGAACGAGTCAGTTACTGAAATCATTTCCTAAAAATAAAAGTACAGACATTATGCTGATGTACGCATACACTCACCTAAAAAACTGACACACATCTAATCTAAGTTTTAACCCATCCAAACAACCTTAACCAAACTTCTATATCAAGACCATCTGGATGACAATTAATTGGTAATCGTCAAACGATGGGAAAGACAGGAAAACTACTCATTTTGTAAATAGAGAAGGAGATTAAATTAATGAGCAGGAAAACAGTATGTTAGGCTCTCAATAAACACTTTACCCAGGGGATAATTTAACTAGCGAAATAATGATGCATAATGACAAACAAAAATCCAAAACTCAAAAATATTTTTCACCACACTATGATGTTTTTGGCTATATTACATACGTTAATTGGAGGCTGAAAGTTACGTTTTGCTGGCCATGCCAGCTGTCGCCAATTTGGGGACCGAGCAGGTTTTTACAGGCCGGGGCCGCAAAATCAGCTGTCCGCTTACTTACTTAAAACATGAATGCGTTTTAAATACACAATCAAAATCCATAGCATTGCAATATAGAATTGTGTTATTGTCACCGTTGCCTGGCAACTATTTATTTATATTTTTGCTGATTCCTCAAATTATTTCTTCACATAACCTTAAAGTTGTAGTTGTGTTGACGATCAGTGTGCATTATTATAGTGGTGAATAGTGGTAGGCCTAATAGGGTATAGTGTGGTGAAAAATAGCGTTCGTACCACGGACCGAAATGGTTTTGCAGCTCTCGATCGATTTAAGTTCTCGACTTCGTCTCGAACTTCAAAACTATCTCGAGCCGGCAAAACCTCATTTTCGGCCCTAGGTACGAAATATACTATTCTTACCCCCGTCACAAGCATTAAAATGCAATGGAAAGTAAAACGTGGGTAGGAGTTGATGATATTCCTCCCGAAATGTTGAAGATAATTAGCGAATATGTAGCTAAGTTAGACTGTTATCTCACCAAGTAAACACACCTTTGTCAAAGGGACATTTTGATTATCCCTGAAAGCAGTAGTTGTTAAATAATTGTTTAACAAAGGATATGAAACTATAGATAAATTAATAATATAATAGATCATCTATGATGGAACACTTTGCAATAACTATATACACATCAGTTTATCTTATAAAATGTTCAAAATGTTTTCATTAGGTGAGGAGGTGATTTTGAATTTCCTGTACTTTCTTGAAAAACGTAAAACTATTTGTCCCCAACTAACATGGATTTATAAAAAACTAGCTGTGTAGCCTACCCGTTCTACGGACAGGGAACTTGTAGTCAGTTGAAACCTTCTCAGAACAGCAGTTGGTTTGCATATTTCGTGTGAATTTTTCCAGATATGCAGGCACAACTATTATAGGAATACACATAAACCTATGCAAATACAATATCTGACAGTTTCAAGCCAAAACAAATGCTTAGCAATTAAATGTCACCCGGATATAATTATTGTTGGTCTATATTTATATGTGGTAGCTCAGTGTAATTGCAAGTGGCGCAAGATTGGTTTGCTTCCTATTTGGGAAGGTCACAGTGGCCTATTTTTGTGTTTTGTAGCAAAGTAGAACAGGAAAAACAACGACAACTTAATTGCAGACTTTGGGGCATCGCAACATTATGTGTTTCCCGAGTGACTTCTTTCACACATATCAGAGCTTTGCCAATTAACGTCACTGTATGGTGAAGATATTGAGGCCATTGGAGAGGGAAGTATTCATTCGAGTAACTAAGTATGAATATCAGTAAAAACCAATACATCACAGCTATAGAAAATGTATGATGTTCCTGAGCTAGGAAGGAACCTGATGTCAGTCAGCACAACAATGAACAAAGATTTGGTTTCAACGTAACTAAAGAAAAATGTGTCTTCATGAAGAATAACGTTGCTCAACTGTATGGACATTGTGTGTAAATGGACTCTATGAAATTGAAATTGATCATTCTGTTTGCAGAAGCTGAACCAGTGTTTAGTAGCAAACAGAAAGAAAACTATCCAAGATTGGTCTGAATCTCTGGCTCATCAAAATAAGACACACGTTAAAGTATTAAAAGCAAAGCAGGGGAATTACTGTATGTCAAGGTGGAGAATGAATTTGTGAAGGTTGTGTATAAGGCAAGCAACACAGAGAAACACACCATTCTCGGACTGTAAAGCCAAAAATGGCAGGAGAAATAGTGGAGATCTATGAGGTCCTATGAATCCAGTCACTAAAGGGGTTGTAGAGGACATGGAGGGGGGATTTTTTGTGGGAATGTGTTTGGGGTAGTTAGAAGATAAAAATACTAAAAGTCCCAGCCCCCCTAGCCCTGCTGCTTCAGCAAAGAGAGGGGGGAAAAGACACCTTTTTTAGTTTTACTTCTACACTGAAAACTGTGCATCGTACGGAAAAATTTAAACTATAAAAATAAAGATGTTAAAATTCTCTACAAAAAAGGTTATATTCATTTCTTCTCCATCATTCATTATTTCTTCTTGCCTTAGTTTCCAAGATATTCTCAAATGGATATACTTAGAAATTCTTTCATAAATGGATTTGTCCACGCTTTTCGTCCAAAAAAGCAAAAGACTGCTATGCAGTTCGTATGGTGGCACAGAATGTGACTAGTCCAACCATCAAAAATTTACACCAAGTCAAGAGAATTCTTTGTTACCTGCAAGGTTCTAAGGAATACCCTAAAAGCTTTTACAGTGTCCGGGTTTTTTTTGGACTGGTGCTGGTAATAACCTGTAGGAAACAGTTTTACAACCTTATGAAGTAATGTATATTACTTTTATTTTGAAATGTCTAACGTTGATTGTATGGTTGATTTGGCTTAATAATAATAAGTTGTGAGTAACCTGTTCTTTATGTGAATTTGTGACAGCACTTAAATTAGGTAAGGTAAAGTTTAAGTTATAATGAGCCAAGTTGAGAAGTTGATGGTTTATGCTACCTCCTGACTGTTTCTTGTACAATTAAAACACTGGAAAATAGAATTCCAAAGTACCAAAAGCTACCCTCAGGCTGCTGGTGTTATTACAAAAAGTTACATTACATGTTTCAATTACATCATTACATGTTCAATGTTAGTTAACAAAGTTAGGTTATGTTTGTTTGTTATTGTTGTGAACTGTGATTGACATTGTGGCATTTTTGTTGCCGCGACCGTGGCCTTTAATTCAAGTAGCTATGAAAATCTAGTAAGGCTCAGCATAGATTAAAAATTGCAAGCTAATGGGATTACCATTAACTGACGACACCAATCACCATTAAGTACCAAATTGATAAAACTATTTAAGAAACGGTCCTTCTGGTAAAATATTTTCAGGGAAAAATGTTCGTCTGGAATCTGGACAAAAACCTTGATACAAATTTCTCATATAGGGAATAAAGCGTTACCTTTTGACTGTATTACCGTAAGTCTCATGGTAAGCCATAGTCCAAGGTGGTAAGGGTAAGACCCAGGACCAATTTAATTTTTTTAATGATGGAATGGCCTCTAGATCGCCTGAATAACTAATATAGGTTTAAATCACCTGTTTTCTGTCAAAACGATCATCTTGGTAGTATGATTACTACCAAGACGATCGTTTTTACAGAAAACAGGTAATTTAAACCTATATTAGCTAATTTTTGTGTTAAATTTACCAGAGGTAAAAACACCATCTGTTCAAAAATCGATTTACAGAATACTATATTAAGTTTGCGTGTCCATTAGCATGGTTAACCGAGTAAGAAATCTATTTTTGGCATTTCTTTTTCGTAGAAACGTGTAAACCTATATTCTAATGAGTTTGCGGTGGACTATGGGTAATGTTAAATGTTGCAATATATTTCTAAACCATTTTGTAAGAGATTATGACTATTGGTTACAGAGAAAATAAAAATGTAAATTAAAAATTCTTATGGATAGATTCTTATAAATGGTGGAAGGAATTCCACCATGATTCTTATGGATGGTAAACAAACTGCGTCCTCCCAACCAGTTGCGAAAGCCAGTATATACAAATTCTTAATCTATGGCATCCCAAAAGGAGGGGAGTAGGAGCAAAAGCTGCATAGCATTCAGTTTATGCTGTTAAAAGCAGCAAAGTACAAAAAAGATTTTTCTCTTTCTGTATTCTGTCACTTCACTTTCAGATTGGTTTGGTTAAGGTTATGTTATCCTATCCATCCAACAACCGGTGGGGCACACGGGAGGGACTAAGGCTAACATATCTTGTAGTGTCAGCGTTCGCCGCTAGGACTGGTAAGTTGAAAAAATTTAAATTAATTTTTAATTTTTTGTTATAAAATTAACTTTTTAATTATAAAATATTGTTTTAAAGTTATAAAATAAATTTTTAATTTTTAAAATTAAACTGTCATAACATAACCTAACCAACCAGACTTGCTGATAATATAAAAACTATATAAGATAAAAATCTAATTAATGATTACTTATAATTTTTAATTAATTATAAAATTAATTTTAAAATTTAGTATTATAAAATTAAACTGTCATAACCTAACCTAACCAACCAAACTTGCTGATATGAAAAATTTGTTGACAAAAAGTTAATGCTGTCAGTGGGTTTCGAACCCCGGACCTCCTGAACAGCAATCCGAAACGCTACCAACTATGCCACGAACGCCGCTGAAATCACATCGTTTCGTTACGGTAATCGTGTCGCCTCAAGAGAAGACAATAACCACTAGCGATATGACGTCATTACACATTTAGCCTTAGTCCCTTCCGTGTGCCCATTCCATCCAACAACACCGACGTCACGTCAATAAACAAAATATCATATTAAGGTAGGCCTACTTATATTACTTCAGAAGAGCTTATTGGTTATTTAGGCATATATGTTAAAAATGTAAATTCTTCGCCAGCATAAGTCGAAATTAAGCTTGACTTTTCAGTTGAGTTATTTTTAGGCATAGGGTAGACTAGGCCTAATATAAACATGAAATAATTTGATACCAAGTTCATATTAGGGCCATCATATTCAAGTTCTTTTTACCATAGCATCTGCTAAAAGTTAATTATACTTAGAATTTCTAATCCTGTTTTAGAAAAAAAACATCATACAGTATTGTCACGTTTTATTTTCCCACAGGATAGGCCTATCCTCACACTAAGTTAGTCCAGGCCTATGTTATCTTGTGTTAGTTTGGCCCAGTCTATTACTAGGTGGCGTTTGCAGAGGCATCCACAAAATTGAGCGGAGTCATCAAGGGTTTATATTATATTGTTTTGGTCATACTGCAGTAATACTAGTCGTTTTTAATGCATGCGTTGCAGGTCTAAAGTAGAATTTTACTCTTTAGGATGTAGTTTTTAGCCTCTATGGAGTAAAAATCAGCTGTTGTCAACTCAGTAATTTTCTATTGTAAAGGATTGCATGTATCGAAATATGTATCGATTCGTGCTTTGTAATTATTTTAACCTACAGTGTACAGTCTCTTCCCATAGCGTTTTAGCATTGCAGATACATTAAACCATTCCTACACTCAACACGCTCACCTTTACTACTTCCCTCAACCCCTACGTCGTGGGCCTATTTCCCTCTCCTCCCATAGCATTTTAGGATTGCAGATACATTAATGTAATTGCCAAAGACAGTTCCCACACTCTGCACTGCAAGCCTTACTACTTCCTTCACCATTTCCTACGTCATAGACTTGTTTCCTTCGCTTCTCATAGCATTTTTGGATTAAAGATACATCAAGCTAACTGCCACAGACGGTTTTCACAATATGCTCATACTTTACTACTTTCTAAGCCATTTCCTACTTCAAGGACCTGTTTTCATCACTTTCCATAGCAATTTAGTATTTTAGATACGTTAATCTAATTGCCACAAACATTCCCCACACTCCGCACTGCTAGCCTTTACTACTTCTTTCACCATTTTCTATGTCGTGGGGATGCTTCCATTCCTTCTCATAGCATTTCAGCATTGCAGATACATTAATCGAACTGCTACAAACGGTTTCCAGTTCCCCCACTCCACACTGCTCACCTTACTACTTCCTTCACCTCATCTTACGTCGCGGACCTGTTTCCCTCTCTTCCCATAGAATTTTAAGATTGTAGATACCTTAATCTAATCGTCATAAACAGATCCCACACTCCGGACAGCTCACCTTGACTACTGCCTTCACCACTTCCTACGTCTCGGACCTTTTCTCTCCCTTCCCATAGCATTTTAGGATTGCAGATCCCATAATCTAATCGTCGTAAACAGTTCCCACACTCCAGACTGCTCGCATTTTTTACTTCCTTCACCACTTCCTACGTCACGGACCTGTTTACCTCCCTTCCCATAGCCTTTTTGGGATTGCAGATACCTTGATCTAATCGTCATAAACAGTTCCCACACTCCGGACAGCTTGCCTTGACTAGCTACTTCCTACACCACTTCCTACATCGTGGACATGTTTTCCCCCCTTCCCACATCATTTTATGATTGCAGATACCTTAATCTAATCGTAATAAACTGTTCCCACACTCCAGACAGCTCGCCTTGACTACTTCCTTCATCACTTCCTACGTCGCGGACCCGTTTTCCTCCCTTCCCATAGCATTGTATGATTGCAGATATCTTAATCTAATCGTCATAAACAGTTCCCACACTCAGGACAGCTCGCCTTGACTACTTCCTTCATCACTTCTTACGTCGCGGATCCGTTTTCCTCCCTTCCCATAGCATTTTCTGATTGCAGATGCCTTAATCTAATCGTTATAAACAGTTCCCACACTCCGGACTGCTCGCCTTTACTACTCCCTTCACCACTTCCTACGTCAATGGTCATAAACAGTTCCCACACTCCAGACTCTTCTCGCATTTACTACTTCCTTCGCCACTTCTTACGCCACGCAACTGTTTCCCTCCCTTTCCATAGCATTTTATGATTGTAGATACCTTAATCTAATCGTCATAAACAGATCCCACACTCCGGACAGCTCACCTTGACTACTGCCTTCACCACTTCCTACGTCTCGGACCTTTTCTCTCCCTTCCCATAGCATTTTATGATTGCAGATACCTTAATCTAATCGTCATAAACAGTTCCCACACTCCGGACAGCTTGCCTTGACTACTTCCTTTATCACTTCCTACGTCGCGGACCCGTTTTCCTCCCTTCCCTTATAATTTTTGGAATGCAGATACCCAAATCTAATCGTCATAAACAGTTTCCACACTCCAGACTGATCACCTTTAGTACTTCCTTCGCCACTTCCTACGTCGCGTACCCGTTTCCTCCCTTCCCATAGAGTTTTAGGAATGCAGATACCTAAATCTAATCGTCATAAGCAGTTTCCACACTCCAGACTGCTCACCTTTAGTATTTCCTTTAGCAATTCCTACCTCACGGACCTCAAGCTAGTGTCGTCATTTGATTATATTTATGATTCATACCGTTTCTGTTCTAATATCTGTGGAATATTGCTATCAGCTATTTCTTTATCTACTGCATTCAAAAGTCAACAGCTGATCATATGTCTTTGTTTATGTGTCAAATACTGCTTCCATAAGGATTACATTGAAACTTTGAGACCCAGTGGGGCGGATTCCTGAGAGTTATTTTTAACGCCATATAGATGTTGGCACTCACCGATATGGTCTTTATCACCATCCAAAATTTGAAAACGATTGATTCAGCCGTCTAGGAGGAGTTTGCGTATTACGAAATGCATAAAAGTCGACGTATAAGAGCTTTGCTCGCTTCGCTCGCTCCGCTCAATTAATGGGTAGACTTCTATATCTGTTGGCACAAACAACCGAACGAAAATATCGATTGTTCGATTGTTTCATTCGATATATCGATCGATATTTTAATTTGGTTGTTTGTGCCAACAGATACATAAGTCTACCCTTATTGATTAGTAAGGCTAAATGGATTAGCTATGCTGACAATATTACCTAGCAGGGATGAACATCAATAGGTAAGTTAAACCATCCATGTTTACCAGTCCAACATTGGTGCCAACCATAAATGTAGCCTACTAAGGACCATGTAGCGCACGAGCGAGGACGGGAAAACAGCTGATTTCCTTATGTCCCATACTCATAGTTATATAGTTGTGAAACTGCCTGCTAGCCACTGACTTTACATAGGCATCAATCAGCAATCAGCGGTAGCACCAGTAGCCTATAGGCCTATAACTTAGTAGACTATATAAACACTAGTGTTAAAGTTAATATAGGCAATGCTATTACTGAATTCGATACTATAGGCTACACATTATAACAGATCTATGAAATGGAGAAAAACGTAAGGTTATAAAACGTGTCTACTTGTTTGCATGACATATTGAAATGGAAGGTTTTATGACAATTGGGAACAGTTCTAAAGGCTTTTAGGAGATATGGCTTCGTAGTCTACAGTATGCCTATGTTTTAAAATTCATGAATGCAAGTTCGTCATAGTTTGATTTTTAAAATGAATACTTGCTCATGACAAAGACAAATAACAAGTGAAACGGGAGGTTTTTGGTCAGTTGGACACATATATAGACATTAATAATGGCTTTAGAAAGTCAGTAAACAACTTTTGTGAGGATACGGCCGTAGCCTACAATATGTTTTGAGATTTATGAATGCAATCGTCATAGTTAGTTTTAAAAATGTCTACTTATTCATGACAAATAAATGGGGAAATGTGAGGTTTTGCACACAGTTCTAGGCGTTAAAACTGGCTGTAGAAAGTCACCCAACGGTTTTTAGGAGAATATGACCGTAGTCTACAGTGTGTTTTGAAATTCATTAATGCGATCATCATAGTTTAATTTTTAAGATGTCTATTTGCTCATGACAAACAACAGGTGAAATGGGAGTTTATGGACAGTTGGGCACGGTTTTAGGTGTTAAAAATGGCTTTAGAAAGTCACCAAACGGCTTTGAAAATTCCAAATGCTCCACACCCCCCAAGCCCCCCGGAGGACCCCCATTTGTCCCCCCCAAAGTGTTGATGCTGGGTTATCATAAATATGTTTTTAGGACTTTCCTTGTTTCGTTATGAATCAAACGATGTCAGATGAGTCATACTTTCGCCCGCCAAATCTCCTAGACTTATCAATGCAAGTGTATGGATTGTAGGGACAGTTCCACAACTTACCATAAATTATTGGATAAAATATTGTTTAAATTGGATATATAGTTTATATGTGATATAAATATCGATTGTATGTTTGGCGTATTATATATGTAAATTAAAGGTCATAGGGTCTGACCAAAAAGACTCTTTCGCCATTGTGCTTTGGCAGGATGATTAGCTTAGTTCAGTTTAGCTAAGTTTAGATTATGATAATAACAAACAAGGTTAAAAATAGCTAATCATTTTAGAAAAACTCTAATTGATGAGTTAAGTCGCAAAGGTTTTTTAAGATATAAATTTACCTAAACATCAATTTCTATTCGTCTAAACTGAACGAATCAAACCAGCCTAACCTAAATGCCGCAGCACACTGTAAAAGAGTGGCCCTCTTTAACAGAAAATTAATATCTATATTTAATAGGTATAGATTGAATTAAAATTTCACCTTAAACATATAATAGGTTTCTTTGCAGTTATATCTGTGTTATTTTTAATGTTGATTACAACTAGTGACCAAACCCTTCCTATAGGCACAATGGAGGATCCTGTTGGGGTATTGGAAGACAGAGTGCGGTTGTTGGAGTTGAGAGTGTTTGGGGAGAGCCAGGGAGAGGATGTAGCTCTTCCTCAGTCTTCTGCCGTTGACTCTTTGTTGGAGGTTCAACGTGTCGTGTCATCTGCTCTGTCCGGCCGAGAAAAGATGACTGCTGCTGTCAAACGTCTGGACCAGCTTGAAGCCGTACTTGATCCGATGTTTGAAGACTCGGTAGGTTTTTCAGACTATCTTCTTGTATTGCTGTGCTTTAGACGGACAGCAAGTGATGGACTGTAGCACTTTATCTTAAATAAGAGAATGAGATACTTTATGCTGAAAGTGTTAACAGTCGTAATGACTTCACGCAACTCATGCTAAACATTACACTTGTTTAGTATAAGTAGAGATATAGAAATATTAGCCTATATATGATTTGTGTCAAGTTGACTCTCTTATCACAAACCACTCCCATTCGTGTATTTTATGTACAACAGTAATTATAGACAAACTCATCCACGGATGAAAACTCTTTTATCTTGACGTTCGACAACCTGAAAATATATGCCTCAGCGGCATGAAAAAGCTGTAGTTGATTTTAACCAATACAAGGATCGCTTGACGCAAAAGGAAACGTAAATCATTTTTATATTGTTAAACTATTGAAGTACATGTACGTAGTAATTTCAGGTGACAATTTTTATGTAAAATAGAGTAGCAGTGGTATTAAACTAATACAATTTAAGTTAGATAAATCACTCAGATATCATCAAATCAGAGAAAAAAATTAACTTGGGCTCATTGACATTTAAAGCGTGTTTTTGAAGCAGTGTGTACATATCCAGGCTTGTAATTCTTGTAATTTGTCTGTACTACAGGTTATAGACAGTGCTGCAAAAGTTGCTTTTATTCTCTCAATGGAGTCTCACCTGGAGGAAGTGACAAGACAACTTGTCCGATTGAAGGAACTGAGCCCCAGCTTGGAGAGTGAGCAGCTGCGTAACATTCCATTGTTGCTAAGGCAACTTGCGAAACTGACCACTACGATGGTCGAGCAGCGAGAAAAGTATGAGTTGGTTGACGACGGGATACAAGACCTTGTGTCTAGGTAATCACTATTGTGTAGACTGTAAATAGTTTTCATTAACTTACTTATTCTCTAAGCTCAGTTATATAGACTAGTTATTTGTGTAACTAGTGCGCGGTTGAATATATAAATCGGTGTAAATGCCTGCTTCTATGTAATCCAAATTATTGCCAAGGCACGCAACTAGTTTCGACTTCACGAAGAAGTCATCTTCAGGTCAAAATAACTTCATCAGAAGGTCGTCAATACACTATTGTACATCTACACACAAACATGAACACGAACATAGTTACAAAAAAAGTTACATAATGTTGATTTATTATTTAAGTCATATGTTTGTTTCTATATTTGATTATTCCCTTTATATTTTCCTTGATTCAATTAAACACTAGTTTCATATTCTGTCTGAATTTAATTTGATATTCATTTTTAGAGTTAATTCCACATTTAATATGCTCTCCACATTTAATATGCTCTCCACTTTATTGTGCTGTTTGGTTGGATTACTAGAGTGTGGCAAAAGTAAGTAAATGCAGCAATTAGCCATAATCAGTGCAAGGAAGCCCGCTTTGTCAGTTAAATGTAGGAAAAATGTCTTTAGAATGCCTTGCCATATAAAGCTCTGTGTGTGTATTTTATGCCTACTGAGGCTTTTCTACACACTGACTATTGCACACTCAATAATTATAATTCTGTCAGTTTAAAACCTTTTACATCGCTCAGTGTATCATGTGATCTCTCTTCATATGCACTCAATTCCTGAAGCTATTACAAGAAAAGTGTAGCTCTTAAATGTCCCGTACTGCAAGATGAATATGACTGTAGGTATTAACGTTTCTTAAGTTAAGTTCATTTTAATTTCTTTGCTCCTATTTACCTTGTATGGTTTCCAGTGGCCCTATCATAACAACATAACATATTTATATGAGAATTACCATACGTTTTGATGACAAAACTTTGTTAAACCCAGTAAGAGGACTAGGACAAGTAGCCTACAACAACTAAACTGACACTATTACTAGACCGAAGTAAAATAATTATCGTCAGTCATGCAGGTTGCATCAACTGTCCTCGTGGACTGTGTGAAGGCGCTATAATAGGGCCATATTTAAGGACCAATATGGCCCCGGGCCTAGGAGGATCTCCGCCCCGGGGGGTCAAACCAGAGCCCTGCTCTATAATGATTCAACTAAATGCAACGATGTAAAGAACTACATAGTTGTTTATATCGTTATAAAGTTGTTTATATCGTTATAAAGTGGTTTATATCGTTGAATAAATGAACTTGACAATTTTTTTACGATAAAATCGGTGAATAGGTGGCTAGGGCACTAAGCTAATAAATAATTTCTTTCTTTCATTGACGCTAAGGAAGGATTTTCATTTCATTTCTTACTATTAGGAGTATGCACTTTAAATTTTGTTTGCTTCGCACTTTAGATTTGTTTACTTTGAGTCAGGTAAATACCCCCGCCGCAGCAAACCTGCAGACTAAGCAAATTTCCATTTGCCTGATTGGATTTACACTAAAATGTCTCCTTAAAAATATCACATTTATTCCCTATTTAAATAGAATCAGTTTAACACATACTTAGGTTTGCTGCAACAGGGAGGGCAAAAGTGTTTTTTATGTAAAATGTTAATAGTTAGTAAGAAATAAAAACATTTTCCAAATTTGGGCAAAAAATGTTAATAAACAAGCAAACTACAACAGTTTACTTATTCTCCATAAGAACAACATGGGAATTTTAAATTTACAATTTTTTGAAATTTTCTCCGTAACCATTAGGTGCATTATAACGCTTCAATATACTAAATTATTTGTTTTTTTAAGCTCTACAAAATGGTTTGGAAAGAAATTGCAAAAATTTATGTTTTTTGAGTCAAAAGTGGAAAAACCCATTTTTACCCCATAAAACCCCCCATAAACCCCCGTTCCCATGGTCCGATCATGCTGGTTCGCGAACTCGTTCGAATAAACGTAGGTTTATACGTTTGTACCAAATTTCATCAAAATCGGATCGTTTTTGCTCGAGTTATCGCGCTAACGGACACATATATAAATATATATATAAATAAATATATATATATTTATATATATATATAAATATATATATATATAAATATATATATATAAATATATATATATATAAATATATATATATATATATATATATATATGAATTTGAACGGATGGTGTTTTTGGCCTCTAGGGAACTCAAAACAAAAAAAAATCGGTCCCAGGTCCAGGTCTTACCATGAGTACTACGGTAATAGCTTATTCCCTATATGGGAAATTCGCTAAAAATGTTACTTACCTATAGGCCTAGGCCTCGATCCCAATTAGATCGGTTCAAAATCGGTTGGCTTTGGATTTGCTTATATAATGTTGATTTTTAGGCCGAGCAGAGCCTGGCCTACAAGCTTGTGAGATCAAGCTCAAAGTCAGAAAATCAAGCTCATCGAGCGGATTTTCTCAGTACTCAATACAATGCCCAATTTTAAAGTCCCAATTTAAAGCTTTTATGTCCGCGTGGATCACGCTCACGAAATTGAAAGATTAGGCCTACGCTTTTACCACAATTACCATGACATTGTCGATATTCACGTTTCTTTTCCTGCGAGAGATATATCTAGGATTTTGCCGCGATTGCGGAAAAAATTATTTTCACGTCACCACGGGTTGTGTAAAATATTAGAGATTGGGACGTGAATGTTGAGACGATGATGTTTTTTATCTGATGATGTCCTAGGTTTTGGTTGCAATCACGGTAGACTATGATAATGTTTCCATGACTACGGGAAGTATTCACGATTTTGCCGCATTCATGAAAGATGATGATGACGCCTCGGAGATGGCGTGCCAAGCTTAAGTGCAAATTTAGGTGGTAATACATGTGATAATGTTTTTAAAGATTATTGGGAGAGGGGGGCCCAGCAAACAAACTTGCGGGGGGGGGGGGCGCGGGCTCTTATTGCTGCCACTGATGGTCTCTAAATCCATGATCTTTGACATGCAGTCTGATTTTACAAGTGTAGTACATTATTACATACATGAATATTTTTTCAGGTATACGGAGGTGATCAATGGAATTACTGCAGTGTTTGCCACTCTGGATAATTTAGTCACAGAATTAGAAATAAAAGCTCTACCAAAACCTGTCATAGATTAAAACTCAGCGTTATACTACCACCTTAAACATATTTAATAAGCTACACGTTGATAAATGTTGTTTCTATAATTTAGCTTTTAATATTTATTTATGTAACTGTTTTTTAATAAACTTCTTCTAAATATATATAAATTGAATCTATTTCCCTGAAATACTAATAAAGGCGTAAAGGTATAAAAGTGGCTTCTGATGGGAAAAAAAAATCATAGGTCAACTGTTTAACGGAAACAGTTTCATGCACTTGTTACATGACATTGAGGAACATTGCAAGTACAGAAGAATATAGCTAGGAGCAGCAGCTGTATTTGAGCCTTAATCCTAGTTCAATTGATTTACTATGAAATATATTTTTCATCACTGTGTAATGAATGTAACTATTTTCGATAACAGCTGACATCAATGAAAGTAGTCGTTTCCCAAGCTCTAGTTTAGGCCTTAGGGCGAGGGAAAATCGACTGCTCATATAAAAGTATAGGATATTGTCAAAATATTCTAATGCTATCTCGGCAAACATTGTATAGTCAGCAAATGAGGTAGTTTGAAACAGATTCAGAAATCAGGAAGGTTTATTGTTTATTGTCTTTACACAACATAGAATGTTGCGATTGATTGTCAAGGTCAACCTTAAAACTAAAGACTTATGCATACCTCTGATCAGTGTCCCAGTGAATCTCCATACCAAATAATAACTTCTACAGAAACTACTTTTTGAATTGGATCTAGTGAGAAATGTTACTTATCAACAGGATAAAAATAACGAGCCATTAGTGGTTAAAAAATATTTTAATAAAAAGTTGTAGATAAATTTAAACAAAAATCTTAACTACAAGTGCTTTGACTTGATTCATGTAGTAGCACGCTTTTAAACTCATTCAGCATTTTATCCTGAAACAAAAATATCCAGAAATAGAGGTAGAGACTCAGTAATCTGGCATAGATTGGAACAAAACCAAAAGAACAATAATGGAACGCAGCTAGAGCAACAAAGTATTTTATTGAAATACAATTATGTTTATTCATCTATAAATAAACATTGTAGTAACATTGTAGACATCCCATCTATATGGACCAGCTGTCAACATTTTTTTTTAAAAAGAACATAGTTGTGTGAGCCAGTCACAGAATGTGCTTCTAAAACTCTATTTTCTACCTTATTTTTAGTTTAGCAGACATAGTTGATGAGTCATAACAGTTTCTATAGCTCACAAAAATTCATTACATTAGTGTTACTAGTTAAAAAGGTTTATGTATTTGACAGAAAGTAATTTAAACCACCACAATCTAACGGTGGCTCACACCAACTACGACGATTTTGATTTAAAACCGTGTGACAATTTTAACATGGGGATGGAATGTCTAGTTGTATCAATAGTCAAAGGTTGTATGAAAATAAATAATACATGCAAATTGCTAGCATACATAAAATTAATTCAAAAATAATTATGTAAAAATTGTATGGTTTATAAATCTAATATATAAAATTCTCGTGTCACAGTGTTTGTCTGCAAACTCCTCCGGAACGACTTCACCGATCGTTATGAAATTTGGTGTGTAAATTCTGTAGGTATGCGAATCGGACGTAAACTATTTCCCGTTTCGAAATTCTTAAAAGGGCTCCGCCCCAGTGGCTCTGGAGTTTCCCATGATAACCTTATGAGAAATGGAATTAATGAATCTTAACAGCTGTTTCAATTAAACAAGTTGGTTCTGTTCTATGATGTTCAATAGCATTAAAGTTACAAGGATTACCAACAGGGTGCAGCACTATTATTTCTTTTACATTTATGACAACAGCTAATTTGCAACCAAAAGGTGAGTGAGCGTAGCGAACGAACTTCAACCTGGAGGCGAGTTAGCGTAGCGAACGAGCTAACCTGAAGGCAAGTGAGCGCAGCGAACGAGCTCCAACCTAAAGGTGAGTGAGCGTAGCGAACGAGCTCCAACCCAAAGGTGAGTGAGCGTAGCGAACGAACTTCAACCAGGACGTGATTGAGCGATGCGAACGAGATCATCTTGAAAATTAAACGTAACGGTACTTTCTTTCCATCGGTCTGTCTTAGGGGAAACCTATAACTTAGGCGATACGAAGTTCGCCGGGTCAGCTAGTAAGTGTATAAAAGTTAACACTGTGCAATAGACAGATACCGGTAATAACAAATCAGATATGTAAGTACAGGCAGAAGGCTAGGGTTGTCAGTGTATTATAATGGTTTATCTTACTCACCTGATAGTGTTTAGCAATATGCCTGTGTACTCGTACAGCCCAGAGATACAGCTGGTCAGGGGAGGGAGACTCTAGAGTAGCCGTCTGACTGGACAACCACACTTGACACATCTCTTCCAACATAACCTGTATGTAACACAAATAATGTGTCATATGTACCTGAGCCTATACTTTGTTCACAATATTTAGGCAGTTTTAGGGGAAGAAATCCATCCCCTCCACTTGACCAAAAAACCCTTAAAATAACCCCAACCCCTAAGAGTTATCTTCTTTATAGGTGTTGGTTACCTTTAAAATAATAGCTGAACAGCTGATTAAGCAACATACCTACATTAAAACAAACAAAAAGTTGTTGGGAACTTCCTTTCAAACCACATAAATATTGTGAACAAAGTATAGTATGTACAGTCCAATTGTAACCTGTACATTTAATAATAGAGTATTAAAATTTGGTCACTGTCATACAAAATTAGCATAATGTGAACAGGAAGTGTGCAGATTTTGAGAAATGTTAGGTTATCAGGAAAATAGGACAAAAATTGAAAACCAATACATAATGTAACACATTTCCTTTTTACTTTTTATCTTGTATATAGATACCATTTACAATCATAACATTGAAATGCATCAATTTTAAAATTTTTTTCAAATACCCAGTCTAAATGTCCACAAGTAGATATAAAACGCAAATGTAATGTAGGCCTACTATGTAACTATTGAAATTTGAGTTCTGTAGTTTGCCACCAGGGTCGATCATATAGGGTCGTAACCACCACAGAAATGGGGTTCCATATGTCAAAATTGTTTACAGTTTCGTGCGACTTCCATGTTGTGCCAAGATGTGAGATCCATACGGATTAGTGCTTGAGAATTAGAATCTTGGGGTAGACTCCTGCCAAAGATTATTTGGTTGTAATATTAAAGTATGTATTGTAACATGTCTCCTTGTGTGTAGTATTCTTGTAAATATTGTATATTGTATTCATTAACTGACTATGCTAGTTTTAGCAGTTTTTCGGACATTGTCAATAATTTGTATAAATTCACAAGACAATAAACACATTTCATTTCATTTCAATAGCACATGACCGAGATGAGAACCGTGAGCTACAAGTTAACAACCAGAATCTTTATGGTAATGCTATCTAACAAAAGATCGACGTTTTTAGTAAAAAAACAGAGTTTTCCTAACGGTTTCTTTGCAAAAAATGTAAAAAAACACCTATTGCGTAGATAAACACAAATTTAAAAAGTACCTTGAATGTGTGGCACAAGTGTGTGATGGGTAACAGCCTGAAGGCACAGCCGGGTGGAGTGATAGCTAGGTGAACATTGTGAGAAGCTGCACTCTCAGTCACCGATGGGGTCATGTGCTTGTCAAAGCTGTCCAAAATAACCACTCCTGCACCTGGCCTGGAAAAGTATTTCATCGCCTCTGTACAGCAATTGGAGCAAAATCTGTGTCCTCTAGGGAGGCTAAATTAAAAAGTTCACTGGTCTTGGATTTAGGCCTTATAAATTTTATTATACTGTCAGTAATATGTACTAAAACAATTTAAGACAGGAACAAACTCGTTGTGTGTTTCAAGCTGAATATGAATGAAGGGTGAGAGTAGAATGGAGTGAGATAATCTTGTGTATAGCTTTGTAACTGAGAAACCAGCTGTTTCTTGGCCAGGACCATTTATTTAGCACAATGATGAAGGGCAGCTCGGTCCAGTTCTGAACCATCAAAAAGCTAGGTACTTTGGTGTTACCGACCACAGCTAATAATTATATCTACGGTGGTTAGGTTAGGAAGATTGTTATTTTAACTAATTAAAATCTAATTTGGAAGTCAATTTATCGGTGTGGTCAGTATAATACCAAAGTACCAAAAGCTACACTATTCAGGATCGCACCAGCTAAGATACCTGTTGATTAATAGAGAAGTCACTAACGTTTAGAAGAATAGGAAACTAATTAAATAGGACACTGAGTAAAACAATGAGTAAAGTAAGAACGCCATCTCGATCACATTATACTACATGGTTTTTTATATTTTTTTAGATGGATATTAACATAATGTTACAAGTTGAAAGTAACAATTCTTATTAGATTAAGAAAATCATAAGGGTAGTTTTGTTTCTAGCTGTCTAGGCTGGTAACAGTTTTCAGAGGATATTGTAGAAAAATAGTATTTTAACTCCTTTAGGGCAAGTAGTCCAAACCCATATGTTTTTGGATGAGCCAAGGATCCAACTCGTCCCTCCCACACCAAAGTCGGGGACGCTAACTACTAGGCTAGCACAACACTCGATTAGTACTAGCGCAAAAACTGTGCTATCCTCATCCTGCAAAGTTACAGATTTTTCTAACGGACTGACAACAGAGCACTAAGAGTTAAAAGCAACAAGTCCAATCGGTACGGATATTGTCTGTTGGCAGAGAAAACTAATTTTATATTGTGAAAACTTAAAGATTTTGTAAAAGGTAAAAACAACAATTTGCAATGGGGTCTGACATCATATTGTATTATTAACACAAAAACTAGACTAATACTGTAAAAACTTACAGATTTTTGTTACAGACTGAAGACAGCCATTCTTGCACAACTGTGTCTGTTACTTGTCCAGTATCATTAACAAACGCTACCACTCGTGGATCACTGTCATTGTTAGGACCAGGCCCAGACCCCTACAGAACAGGTCACAACTCTTTATGGACAAAATTTGACAGTAAGGAAACAATTGCTTTCTGGATTACTTTACAATTAAATATCTACAACAGGCTACGTTATTTTACTGTCCAAGGGACTAAAGAGTAAAAAGTAACTTAGCCTCTTTTAGATAGTTACATTTTATTATGTTTAATTTTCTTCCACTTTATGTTTGTTAGGGTCATGCAACCGTTTTTATGCTTACATTAAC